CTTATACTGTTCCTCTCCAGTGCTATCTTCTTTTTTTTTTTCAAATTAAAAAAAAATAGCTGTAGATAGACACAGTACCTTTATTTATTTGTTTTTTAATGTGGTGCTGAGGATCCAGTGCCTCACAAGTGCAAGGCAAGTGCTCCACCACTGAGCTACATCCCCAGTCCCCAGTGCCATCTTATATTCCAACCACAGCCTGCCTTTCATCTAAGGAAAGTGAATACTCTTCTAACTCTAAGTCCTTCTCACCATGTTTATGAACACATCTAGATTTCCCTTCCTTTGCATACTATCAGATAATGAAGAATATGCTGTGCTCTTTGATCTCTGTGTTTTGTCAATTGGTGTGTCATGTTGCTAGTCAGATGGAACCTATAATAAAAATGAAAGCAATATAAACAGTGGAGTCTGGTTCTGTAGTTGGAGTCTGGTTCTCCATGTACCATCCTACCCCACAGGAAAGTTGGAAAACATGAGTGAACGAATGGTTGCTGTACTGTTTACAGTAATTTGTGTAACACAAAGCCCCAAACTCACTGTCTCAAACACAGTGAATTCTTTCTCAAGTGATCATCTGCAGCAGGAGTTCAGGGCAGGGTCTGAGAGGGTGTGCTTGCAGTATTTCAGAGACCCAGGCCAAGTGCATCCCTGCCATCTCCAGCAAGAAGTTTTTAGAACACTCTGGTGGTTTTCACATCTTTTCCCAGCTCATAGGAGGAATGAGTATCAAGAAATGTCCCTGGTGGGGGCATTTTGTTCGCCAGGCCTAGAAGCCACATGTGTCATTTTCTCATATCTTATTGGAGAGAAGTCCTGTCTAACCCCAGGTGTGGCGAGGTAGTGTGTTGTTGCTGAGCACATGGCTGCCTATGACGGTGGAAGGAAAGTAGAATTAGAGTGAGTGGGGGGACAGCTGGCAAGCTCTTCCTGGGGCCTCCTTTATGATACCAGCAGTTCTTTTGAATATGAATTAGCTTTTCCAGTTCTAGGCAATAAAACATAAGATGTACAAAAGAGTAAGAAAAGGGATGCAGTGCTGCCATTGATCCTTTGTTAACAAGACTGTATCAAACACTGTCCTTCTCTTAGAGCTCAAGGTTAGACGAAGAACCTGTTTTGACTAACAGCCTCACTGCAGCCTTCAGTTTGACCTGTTTGTCTATGAAAAGGGGGCATTTGTGTGTGTGTGTGTGTGTGTGTGTGTGTGTGTGTGTGTGTCCTCTACAAAGGCCTTGTCAGCATTTTACAATTTTAGAAGACAAATTTGTTTTTGCTCCAAGTGTTTTCAAGTGCTTCAGTCAGTCGTCAAACCGGTTTTGAGTCTCGCTCTCAATGCTAACACAGAGAGGAGGGAAAAAAGAAATTTACAAATAAATTCCACAGTCTAAAGCTAGCTGTATTTCAAAGCAGTTGCTTTTTTTTTTTTTTATTTGAAGGTTATATTTACAATTAAGGAGAGCAGTTTTTTAAAATTGAACTCCTTCTTACACCCCAAATTTATCCAATATATTATGTGCTAGTGAATCTGTAAGTTTTGAAAGTCACTGGTAGGACTTATATGAGTCAGAACGTTATGGATTATAAAGTAGGCCTTATCTGGTTAAAAAATTTCAAGAAGCAAGTTCATTAAATTATGCTTAATGTCACAGTCTGTTCTTTACTATATTAAAAAGAGTTCCTGTTACCTGTTAAAGGAGTCAAAATTTGGGAAAGTAATTAAAAGTTAATGCAATAAATCATTTTTATAAGAATTTTATGACTTTAACCTTTAATAAATGCATACATTAGTGGTCTAGTCTTTTACTACACCTAGAGATGGGTTTGGGACATAAACCATTCAAAATCTTCAAAAGGCCTGATGTGAATATTTTTCCTAGGGTAAGTACTGTTAGCAGCTGCAGCATACATGAAAGTCTAGTGACATACCTCCCAGCAGAGGTGATCTGAGTTTCAGCCTTATTTTGACCTGTATGTGACCTTTTTCCCTTTCCTTCATCTCAATGAAGTACGGAATTACTGATCCTTTTCTTAACCTTCATCTTTCCTCCCTAAATCCTAGTCAAAGGGTGAAAATTAGAATTTACCAAACATTTTGTGCTTACGAAAATAAGTACTTTTGTTAATGTCCTCATAGATCCTTACTACGCTTGTCAAGTTTTGTTTGGCAAAAACAGGAGTACTTTGAACATTCTTCAGATGTCCCCCATTTCCAAAGGTATAGGTGCAACCCAGCAACCTTAGCAGAGGAACACTCTGTGCTGGCATGCTGGGTCCCTGAACCAGACTATGAATATTCAACAGTCTCCAATGTGTGGAAAAATAACATGACAACAGAAATTGTGGGAAAGCTTTAAAGAGAACTGCTGAACAGTACTGAAAGTCATCATTTGTGAATGACTCCAGTAAAAACTCATATCCTGGAAGAGCTCTTTTTGTTTGTTTGTTTGGTTGGTTGTTTTGGTATCAGAGATTGAATCCAGGAGTCCTTAACCACTGAGCTACATCCCCAGACTTCCCCCCCCCCCTTAATTTAAAGGCAGGGCCTCACTGGTTGCTTAGGGCCCTCACTAAATTGCTGAGGTTGGCTTTGAACTTGTCATCCTCCTGCCTCAGCCTCCCTAGCTGCTGGGATTACAGGCGTGCACCACCACACCCAGCTTCTTGGAGAGCTCTTAAACATGGGCCCTAAGCAACTCAGCAAGTGAAAAAATCAACTCTAAGTGAAAAAATCCAAAAAAGGGCTGGGGATGTGACTCAGAGGTTAAGCACTCCTGAGTTCAATACCTGGTACCAAACAAACAAAAAAAGTATGGAACAAACACTAAAAGAGGACAGGAGGGAATTGAAGTTACTTGTGGTTACCACTTGTTGTAACCCTGGAAATCAGTACTTTTGCAAAGCTTTCTTTTATGTAACATAACTTTTTTCTGGAGTTTTCAAAATCTATATCAATTATATATATTTTTTTCTGTTTAGGAAGAGAAAATCAATCTTCTAACATCATCTAACTGAAATATCTATAAATATCTATAAACTATTTATGGTTTATTCTCTAATCTCTCTGAATATTTCTTAGTTTTAATCTGAAAATGTTGATTTCTTCTGAAATACTCATTTACATATCACTTTAAATGTATCACTTCATCAACACTTTTGAAATAAGAAGAAGGAAGAGGAACATGCTTTTCCTAGGAATTTCTGTTTCAGAGCCTCAGGAAAACCTAATACTGCCGCACTAGATCTTTCACTAAAGATTTTGATAATCTATTGAAGATTACCAATGAGAACAAAAGTTCTTTGTTATAGACACATCCCTCTTTATCAGTAAGGTCACATTCAGGTAATAAGAGCTATTTTGCTTTGATTTAATGGGAGCCCTTTTAGAAAGGGCTTTTCTAACTCCAACATTAAAGATATAAATATAATCCAAAATTGCCATATTTATTTTTTTATTTCTCAGATCCATTCTAAAATTATCTAACAATATAAATTATGATGCTGAGTATTCTAATGACAGACGCAAACACTATCTTTCCAGTGTCTGGGACACTGTCTTAACTGTGGACAAATAGTGAAATGTTTTCTGTGCAGGTTTCAGAGCTTTGGAAATAATGATAACAGCTAATACTCATTCAGTGTGCCAGGCATTATTCTAGAGCTTTACATGTATTATTTTACTTAAGCCTCCTGGCAACCTCTTGTTAAGCAGTGTTGTCATCTCCATTTTCCAGATAAGGAAATTGAGGCTCAAGTAGAGAAAGACAGTTGACAGTTGATGGAGGTAGAATTCTGAGCCAGGCATTCCGACCCCAGAGCTCCTATCATAATTATTCTGTTATGCCATCTCCCTTCTGTTCTTTAATGGAGCCCAGGTGTCAAGCAGAATTCCAGACAAACTGGCCAAACCAAAGTAAACAGAAAATAATTTGCTCACCTACCACGCCAAAGATTAATTTTCTACTCTGATTATATGTTTATTTGATGGAGATTTTTATATATGCCAATTTCATGGGATCATTGTGAACCTTAACCAGATTTATTCTTAAAGGGCTTTTCATAATGGTAGGTTATTAATAAGTAGGTGAACACATGATGCTTCCACGATTGCTCTTTATTTATCTGGATGTCACGAGATAAGTGGGTTATGCCTAAATCCCTTTGATGCAGATGTGAATCTCTGAGTTCAATGAAATTCAGGTCCAAATTTCCAAGACAGCTATATTTTTTTAATCTAGTAAATTTGCAAATAAGCAAACAAGAGCACATTTAATCCTTCATGGCAATGACTTTTTCTGCATTCGGTCACCTGAATTATTTTTAGAAAGCATTGGCCTGTGTTCACAGAGGCAGTCAAAAAAAACTTGATAAATATGTCTCTGATTCTGATAAGCATAAACTCATTTGGTCAACCTGAAATATATATTATTCAAAGTAAATTTTCTAGTTGTATTTTGTCAACCTTAGCTAATGTAAAGAATAATATTAAATATTGTAGAAAGAAAAGTTCTTAACTCCATTTGTTTTTATGGATGTTTTACAATTTAGGAATAAGTTACATACTACCCCCAAATCATATCAGCAGTTTGTCCTTTAAGAATGTTAAATAAGCAGTGAATTTACATCAATTTTTAATTAGATTTGAGATTATCTTTTTTGATTCTAGTCTTAACCATCCCAATTCTCTGACAATATGTGCTTTGCTTTTGCTTTGAGTTTTTATAAAAGATGCATAATATCTATAAAAGACATTATAGGGCACAGTGACTATTTCCATAATGGTGTCAGATACCTTTGTTAAAGAACAATAAAACATAATATTCAACTTTAGACAAGCAATGTCCTAATTTTACTATTTTTAATGAAGATAAAAATGTGAGAAGTATAAATAGTTTATATCCACATATTATTTGATTTTTCTAATTTAAAAAAAGGACAGTCTGCTGTTGCATATTTCTTACGCTTTGCCTATTGGGCAACCAATAATTGTTCTATTGCAGAACGTGGAAAGTCTCAGTTCCACTCAGTCACATGAGAAGCCTGGACCTGATGATATTGAACCGATGTCCGATGAAAGGTAACTTCAGAATTTTCTCTTCACATTGTTTTCAGGAGCATGAAAAAAAAAATCTTTTTTATTTGTTTAATTCAATGTGTGTTATAAGAACTAAGAAGAATGGAAATAAAGGACTATGTTGACTGAGGATATTTCATAGCAAGGAAAATACTTAGAATAGAAAATCTACCATAGTGCTACTAAGAACAGATAATGTTTGTTTGTGCTTCTAGAGTTTTTTTCTGAATGTTTGTTTTTGAATTTTAAAAAAACTTGGTTTAGGGGCTGGGGTTGTGGCTCAGTGGTAGAGCGCTCACCTAGTGCATGTGAGGCCCTGGGTTTGATCCTCAGCAACACATAAAAACAAATAAATAAAGGTATTGGATCCAACACAACTAAAAAATAAATATTTTTTTTAAAATTTTGGTTTAGAGCTACTCAGCCCATTTTGAAATAAATGAAGTCATAATACGAATAGATGAAAGGCATTGTCATAAAACAAATGGACATTTTGTGATATTTTGTTGTTGCTGTTGTTTATAGCAAAGAAAATGAAAGAGGGGACGGACACACTGAGCATTTTGAGGTGAGTCGATAATAAACGACTGTGAAGGGCTGTTTGAAGGGCTGAGTGTGCATGTGAAACGTTATAAACCTGTCAACAAGGGACAGTGAGGTAAGGACAGAACTCTGTTTGAATACAAAAAAGTGAATACCAAGGTTTAAAGATTCTTAAGAGAAATGTGCTTTTAAAGTGATTTTATCTGCTTCGAAGATAAATTTTAACAGCATGGGCACTTCTCTTTACATTTTCTATGAAATAAAAAATCAAAGGTACTGGTTTGATTTTCCTATGATTTGATGCATTTTTAAGTGATTAAAATACATAGAGTGAGTTTTAATGCATCTGTCACAGGGATTATCTCCTCAATTATCAGTTTAATATAAATTCAGTGTGAATGACTTAATCTAAACCTTCTTTTGAGTTTTATGTCTCAGTATAAGTAAACAATGGAGAAGCAAATCTCTAACTCCCTTACATCATCTGTATTAGAGTTTCATTTGCTTTGTGGGCTCCCGCTAGTGTCTCGGCCATCACCTTGCTGACCCAAGTATTTAGTTTCTCTTGTTCCCAGCTCCAGCCTTCATTGAGTGTGCTGAACCTCATTTTTAATTCATGTACATATTAATCTACTACTTCGAAATATTTCCTACTCCAGCTTCAATATTAGCGGGTTTGTTTGGGGCAAGAATTAAAGCCTTTCTCACCTTCTTCTTAAATTCTACCAGTTGGTTTATTAATTATACAGAGAACTGTCGCTCTAAGCAAAAGATTCTTAATCTTTGTTGGGCACTGACCTAATTGCTGATAGATTTATTCATCAACATATATTAAATTCTAGTATGTACAGATCCTACTGTGTACAGTAGGAATTGGGATTTAATGACTGTTAACATTCCTTGCCCCCATGGAGTTTTACAGTCTAGCAAATTGAAGATCTGAAAGCTGAGGTTGTGGGGTGTAGCTCAGTGTTTAAGAGTGTTTGTCTTACATTCACAAGTCCCGGGGGTTTGATTCCCCAGCACTGGCAAAAGAAAAGAAAAAGAAAAAACAAACAAAAAAAGAATATGAAAGCAATGGATCCCTTCTTAGAAAATTGCACACTTACATAAAATGGGACATAGAATTGCTAGAGATTAATGAGTACCTCCGTGACATACGTGTTAATGCTGTAAACTCCTTTTAGTTTCTCTATTCAATCCCTGTCTTGGACACTTCTTTATTACTCTAGCAGTTTTGGAAGGGGATGCTTCCTCTTATTGACTTCCCAGCTTCTGAGCCAGTTCTTTCATCTCTGATTTCCAACTCAGTTATGTTTCCTTCCTTGGGACCCACCCAGTAAGCTGGCATGCTCTCCTTATCTCCAGGAACCTTTTTAAAGAGCTTCTTTCCTCAGAATAGATTCCCCTGCCCCTGTTTTATCTTTTGCCTGACATGTTTCTCTGCTCACAGTTATGACCCACTCATCATGCCATTGAACTTCATTTTTTAATAAGTTGTTTTCCAGCCTTCTGTAGAGGTCTTCCCAGTTCCTCCCTTTTGTGTTTGTTAATTTTTATGAAATAAAGCGAATAGTGCACACCCTGATGAGTGAACTTCATGACACGAACTCATAGATTCCAAGTGGCACCCAAACTGCATTTGTGCTTGACTTGGTCTGCCACTGTCTTTCTGTGGACAGCTCCATGGCAGTGGATGAATCATGGGGAAAGAATCTCAAATCCTTCTTCCATGTGCCAGGTGCTATTCTTACATGTGTCACCCATGTGCAGCTGCCAATCAGTGCCCGGCTGACAGTTGGCACTCCGTAAGCAATCACTATTAATAATCTTTGTCATTATTAATAGTTTCAGTTAGGAAATAAAATGAGGTGGTGAGTTAAAAATCTAGACTCAACTCTCCATGTCACCTTCCCGTTAGCACTGCACCAGAGGAGCAAAAAAAGACACATCACCCCACAAGATTGGGATTATTTCCATCACGAAGGCATGTGTTTCTTTCACTGAAATATATTTTCTTATTATTCTTGAAAGACTGTGAGAAGAATTGTTTCCCATTTTTAAAGCTCTCCCCTTGTGTCAGTGTGTAGATAGATGTAGCACTTCCTAAAATGTATTAGACCACCCAAATAGTATCTGGTTTTCTGGTAAAACAGCAGTAATCCCTCAATTTCAGAGATGAAAACTAGGTCTAGACTTTGATTCCCCTTCCTAGAATTCTGCTTAACCAGCATTTATTTTGCTTCAAGTCTCCTACGGCATCAGATTGAGATACCAGAATTTACATGCCCACTATGAATGGGTATGATGATTTTTCCAGTTTCATTTTCCCTTAAGATGGGTCTTGTTCTCATTAATATTGTCCTTTAAAATTCTTCTTGTAAATTCTCAGATTCATCTAAGATGGCAAGGTAAATGACAGCTATTGAGGGAAAGGGGTATTTTGATTTCTTTCTTCTTTTTTTTTTTTTAACCAATATTTAGAATGAGGACAGGCAGCCGCCAGACCCATTGAGGGTCTGCTTCTCAAAGGCAGGCACGAGGGTGACGTGACTTTATTTTTTTTAAATAATCAATTTGTAGCCATCCAGTATATTTGAAGGCATATGTTGAAATTGAATGTACACTTAACCACTTATTACTTGTCTTTTTCATTTCTTTTAATTATGTAAGTAATCTATCCCAAAACAAAAGATCTGTTGAGATCTCAGGTGGGTATATTGAGCGTCGCCCACCTATCTATATATATGACTTTAATTTTTCCAATATAAGGAACATACCTTTGGGGACTTTCCCCCTTCTAAAAAGAATTGTTAAGAACAGGGCTGGGGATGTATCTGGAAGTGGGTGTCTGGGAGTAGATGTAAGAGCATATTAAGTAAACAAGGTAGGTATTGAACAGAGTTCCAGGAGAACTTTCTTAAAACATTTCTACTTCTTATATGGCGATTTGGATCGAAATTTGTTTAGTGACACCCTGTAGTGAAAAACATTTAGAATCTTTTCAAAAATGCCCCCAAATGAAAGTATGGCTTCTTCAGATAGGTTTTAGAAAGGCTGATGTTTAATCAAATGTCCTATGGGCCATATGGAATGAGGTAACACAAGAAAGAGCTCAGCACACTGTTCTCTGGGCATGTGGAGTCTAGAGTATTTGTTCTTTTGTTTTTGAACCCCTTTCACAGCTTTAAGCATCAAGAGCCTTGTCTAGATTCTAGAAGATATCACTGAAAATACAGAGAGAGCTGTGCTTACAGTGGAAGCACACTTGACCTTGTGCTTCAATTTCTTCTGATGTTATTTTTTTATTTTGAAAGTATTATATGCTTCATATAAAATCCCAAATATTCACTAATAACCTTACAATGAGTCTCTTTGTCAAGGAAGCAAAACAAGTGAGAATGATTAGCGATATGGGAGGATATTACATTATCTGAGAGAGATCACTTTATGTCAGAATCATAAGGTCAACGAAGTGTTAAATTCCTTCAAGGTATTTTTACATTCTTTGTGCTTTCTAAGCCCACTGCTTAAGAGAGCTTAGAAGCATGCCCTTGATAACAAACGAGACATTCATCATAAACAAAAGACTATTTCCATTTTTCTTATCCTGCTTAAAAAAAAAAGAAAAGGAGAAAGGGGAGAGAGAAAGGTAGAAATGGAGACTTTCCAGTTCAGCCAGAATTAAATTAGTCATCACAAGATCTCAAGTGTAAGCTTTTATTTGCCCTGAGAAGGCATATTTCTGAAATATCCCCCATCCATAGTCACCAAAGGCTATTGACACTTTGCAGTTCACATGAATTTTGGAAATTTGTTATGTCCATTTTCCTTTATTGTCAGGCCAAACAGTAAATGTTTATGGTTCTCTGTGGTTCTTCAGTTAATAACGGTGGTTATTATTTTTTTCTTTCCTGTTCAAACTGCATTGTCCAGCATGTTCTCGGTGTTGCCGATCCTGGCTCTGGTAAACTTTGAGGTCACTTATCACTGTCCTGTGCAGGGAGGGAGAAGGAATGGAACAATAAATCATGAACTATTTCAAGCCAGGAAAAATGGCAAGATCAGTCAAGTCTGGGGATCGTAAAAGTCAGGCCCAACTAGAAAGGGACAAGTCTTGGCAAAGATTAGACTGTTAGACTCAAAGTTAATGTCTCCTTGACCTGAATGTGAAGTTCACCTGTGGCCTTAGGTAAGGGTGAGCACTGGGGTTCAGCTCTCCAGCACACCATGTTTTTCTTTTAGGACGTGTGACACCAGCACTTGTACTTTCAAAGTCTCTTTCTCACAAAATCCTGTGACTTGTTCATTCCCGAATTCTGGTGGCTAGGACATAGTATGTATTCAATAAGCACTTGCCAATGAATGAGTGAAAGGGGAAGGGAAGGGGAGTAGAAATGAAAATAGCTTTTCTTTTAGAGTTACTATGGACCCTCTGTCTATACAGACTTTCCATTTAATCTTCACAACCACCTTATGAAAAGTTGTTCTCGTATTAAAGAAAAAGCTAACATTCAAAGCGGTTGTCCCACTGAAGGCCTCAAAGCTAGTCAAGCTTCACTAGCTAGTGTTTAAATCCAGGTCTCTACCTCCAAACCCCAACCTTTTCTACCTATCGTATTGTCTCCTCTCAGAGTCAGACACTCAATTTACCTCCAGACACAGACATTTCGTGCATTTTCATATGGGATAGCGTGTTTGCCAAGGGTTTGGTGTGTGGCATCACAACCTCAGGATCTCTGAGTTGAAACGTTGTTTTTCCTCTGATTTAACTGAAGATATTAGACATGTAAACACAAGAAAAAGTTTAGACCAAAAATATTTTTTGGTATTTGAGACTTCATGGACATGTTGACCTTAATGATCCAGTTAGAGAAACAGATAAGCAAATAGTATTTGTCGTCCTTACGATAGGTGCTCTTAGTGCGGGCCCTCTGGCAAGGTGCCACAGGGAGGCCACATTTTGAAGGGAGAGATGTTGACACTGGGACACTGCTGCAGAGCATGCATAGCTTCTCCATGAGAGCCAACGGGTAGCATCCCTGCCCCATGTGCATGAAACCACCTGCTGCCTGCTGTGGCATGGTTGTCTAGGACACCATCTCGGGTTCAGTGACCAGGAGGGCCAGACACTGAGACTTGGGCTTCTAAGAGCTTCAGGCAGGTGAAAGAGCAACCTTAGGGGCGGATCAGAGCCCAGCAGGATAGGGCAAGTTGTGTGTGTATTTCCACATAAGTGTAAAGCGCTCCATTCTTCTGTATGACGCACGCTCCACCACAGGCCTGCCCACCACACCTCTCTGCCTCTAAGCGAAATTGCTGCTGCTGATTCCTGGCAGAATACCAGTGGCTCTGCTCACTGATATTTTTCGTGATGCATTTAGAATTTTGTTGCATCCTTTGTTGTACCACATTTCCCCTCCAGTCCAGTCGGAGGTGCTTTCCCCACCCCCTCGCTAGCAGTTTTTATCTTTATATGGTGCCACATGATGACAGAAAGAAGGAGGGCTTCCATTTGTATATCTTGTGCTCCAGACCTTGCTTACTTCCTCTTAAAATTTTACAAGAATTTGCAAGATTACTATCATTAATGCCATTGGAAAGACAAGGAAATGGAGGCTCGGTGCAGGGGCGCAACCCCACCCAAGAACCCAACTATTAGAACCTTGCCACAGTGGGGCGCCGTGGTGCGCTGTAATTCCAGTGACTCTGGGGGAGGGGGGCTGACACGGGAGGATCGCAAGTTCAAGACCAGCCTCAGCAACTTAGCCAGACCCTGTTTCAAAATAAAAATGAAAAGGCTGGGGATGTGGCTCAGTGATTAGGTGCCCCTGGGTTCAATCGCTAGTACCAAAAAAAAAAAAAAAAAAAGAACCTTGCTACAAATCCAGGTGTACCTGTGAGCAATACTGGTGTCCTTCCCATGGCTTGACAATTTAAATATATGATGTATTTCTTCCATGTGCAGAAAACACCATATTTAAAAATAAAATTGTGGTTTTTGTCCTCTTCCCTTTTTTTGATATCTCTGAATATAATAAACCTTATAAATCTTGGTTGTTATTTCTTTACTCAATGTATATTTTGTGTGTGGGTGTGCATGAGCCAGTGCACACACCCACACACACACAAACACAGCTGGTGACTGACTTTTTTTTTCTTTTTTTGGTACCAGGGATTGAACTCGGGGGCCACTCGACCACTGAGCCACATCCCCAGCCCTGTTTTGTAGTTTATTTAGAGACAGGGTCTCACTGAGTTGCTTAGTGCCTCACAGTTGCGAGGCTGGCTTTGAACTCTCAATTCTCCTGTCTCAGCCTCCCAAGCTGCTGGAATTACAGGCATGCGCCACCGCGCCCAGCAGTGACTAACTCTTCACTTTTAAAAATCTGAGCACCAGATACAAGCATTGAACCCTGGACCACTTAGGATTCAGCTCAAGAGACAAATAATTTTTGTGACATAAGCATTCTGTGTTTTGTTGTTTTGTTTTGTTCAATAGGCAAAGAGCATGTTAAGTAACAGCTCCAGATTTATTTTGCATTTCTATCTATTTTAGTAGCTCATCGTGACCTTGTTGATGATGTTTCATTTCATCCCAAAATGTGAAGAGAATACCCGTCTTTATGCATCATTTGATGGAAATATCATAGTAAAAGCGCTGACTATTCCCCTGATGATTTCAAAGTGGGTTGGATAGCTATTAAAAGTAGCTGCAAGTCTTAAATAGTGCTTTATTTTAAGCATAGGAACATTTCTCCTACATTAATGAATTCACTTATGACTTCCAGATGTTCTTAGTTTTTTCAACTAGTGATAGTGTATTTGCCAAAATAAATTTCCATTTGCTCTCAAAGAAAATAGTTTATGCAGATCTGTGCTACTTGAAAAATACGTCTGTGAGTAAATACTACTCTTAACATATTTGTTTATAATTTTATGAGAGCAGGAATGGTGACAATGACTTGGTTTATACTATGCCAGAAGAGCAAGATAGAAAGAGAATCTCAATGAAACAGAATTAGCTTCAGTGCTACTTTTTTAAAAACACAAAACCACTGATCTTGAATATCAACCTTTGCGGGAGGGTTTTCCCTTCCCTCAGATGGGTCCTTGCCTGGTGTAGGTGCTGCCAATGAGCAAAACCAACTGTAACTGAGTTTTTAGTATTCAAAATAGATGAATAGCAGGAAAGCAAGTGACAGATCCATATTTGTAAGATATAAATTATGCATCACCGACTTGCCAGCTCTTGGCATTTTACTTAAAAAAAAAAAAAAAAAGTTATGCTCCCTGTGTAATTTTGGCTCATTTCCAAAGTTCGTATTCCTTACTGCTAGCTGAGCTAAGATGCCAACCCCCTGTGCTGTTTGAATGGTGCAATAATGCTTTAATACCAAGCTCCTGCATACATAGTCTCTCCTCCCCATACTATGAGAAAACAGCCACAGGAAATCTGGGAATATGCAGCTAGCCTCACTTAATTGAGCTATGCCTGTGGGTGGCAGGGGAGTGTTCATGTCCCCAGCCTCTCTCCTGCCCTTGCAGGACTATTTACTAAGGGGCAAAGAAGTCTGTGTGCAGAAGGTACCGCGTGTTGCTACTCCCGCCTTAGCCTTAGCAACAGCGGTGGCTTGCTGTTGTTGTTTATAGTCTGGAGAGCCATGCTCCTTTAAGGAAACACAAACTCCTTTCCCTCATTCCTGGCCCCAATCAGCAATCATCCAGAGTGTCAGCTGCCTGCAGTTATCAGGACGAGCTGCCCGTGGAAAATCATCTTGTTTCTCTCACTAAGAAAAGTTAAAGGAGCGAGCGCAGATGGACAGCTGCTTTTTGCATGAGAGTGGCCAGCTAGTATCCAGGGGGTATCAAGCTATGATTGTCATTTCCATGCTGCATGCATTAGCAGCTGTGGCTTGGGAGGTCTCATCCAGGAGTGGAATTACTGCAAACGTTTTTGGGTTTTGCTGAATGGTAGCTATTGGGGACATTGTGCTGTTTTTGCAGAGCACCACAATGAAGATCCAGGAGCATCCCAGCATACCTGATACCAAACAGCAGAGGAATCAAGATGCTGATGACCAGCCAGAAAGCTTTGTCTCAGAAGTGCCCCAGTTGGACCTGACGGCATTGTGTGATGAGAAGAACTGGGAAGGTAGGTGATCACTGGCACTTGGATGATTTAACATCACAAAAGCATATATAAATAAGCATATGTAAGAGGCGGGTAACTGTGTGTGTGTGTGTGTGTGTGTGTG